TGCTATGTATTAGATACTATTCTAAGCACCTTTACATGTATTAATTCTTTAATAATAATACTAAGCTATCTTTCCATGAAGTAGGCGCTGTTGTATCCCTTTTAAAGATGAGGAAAAGTAATTTGCTGAAATTTTCACAGTGAGGTGGCAGAGCTAGAATTCAAATACAGACAGTGGCCCCCAAGTCTTACTTTTAACCATTACTCTATATAGCCTATGTAGTATTTGTCATTTTTATATTTTTCTTTGAAAGACTTTAGGAGAAGTATTTAATTCATTCTGAGTTTGAGACATTATTTTCCCTATTTTACAAGTGATGATACTGAATTAGAGACTTGGCTGTAGTTACGGAAGAGAAAGTTTCTGATAACTCCTGGATTTCTGGAAGTCTTGGTTCCATCAGTCTGCCTATTCTTTTTTTCTTCCCCCCCCCGCCCCCAGTTTCTACATGTACAATTTAGTGACACTGTTTACATTCTTTGAGTTGTGTAACCATTTTCACCCTCCTTTTCTGAGTTGTTCCTCCCTCATTAACATAAACTCATTGCCCACTAAGGTTCCTATCTAATCTTTGAGTTGCTGTCGTCAATTTAATCCCATATAGATATTTCTTAAAAGAGCATAAAGCTCAAGGCAGACCTTTTTTACTAGTTAAACTATAGTTTTAAGAAGACTTTAGGGGATGTTTTGGGTTTAAGGCATAAAGATTAACTCATGGCAATAGTTTCAGGGATTCATCCACCCTCCACGGCTCCAGAAAGTCTGGAGTCCATGAGAATATAAAATCCTGTTCTACATTTTTCCCCTTTTGATCAGGATTCTTCTGTGTAATCTTTGATTAAAATGTTAGTTATGGTAGCCAGGCACCATTCAGTTTTTCTGGTCTCATGGCAAAGGAGGCAGTTGTTCATGGAGACAGTTAGCCATACATTCTATAACCTCCTCGTATTCCTGACTCTCCTGGTTCCTCTGTTGCTCCAGGTGAATAGAGACCAATTGTTGTGCCGTGGGTGCCTCTTCTGTTTTGAAGAAGTTTAGGAGATATCAGTGTAGCCATCCTTTGTGCTCTATTAGCCTAAATTGTTTTCATATTCTTTTCAGACTTAACGCAACAGTTCTCGAAGATCAGAACTTGTTTATGTGCGACATTGAAGAAGTGTTTTTTTTTTTTATGTTGGCAAGGAGGTTGACCTAGATGACTTTTAAAGTCTTTTCCAACATTATGTTTTATGATTCAACACTTCTTTCTTCATTCAGCAAATACTTTTTATTATTACTATGTGCCAGGCATAGTATGAGTTGTAATTGCCGTAATTGTGGGCAAGTTATTAAATTTAACTTAGCTGATTGAGCCCACAGACATTTAGAAATCTCATGTTACACTCAAAATATCTTCATACCCCCAATATGATACTTAACATCTGCTCCTTTGAAGTATTCTAGATTCTAGTTGAATTTTTTTTTTTTTTACTTATTTGAAAACATTCATCAGCAAAACTACCCTTAAAGAGATACAGTAAGGCTTTGACTGTAAAGACTAAGAGCAGTAGTAGGGTTGGATTAATATGTTTTCTTTCATTTTTTTTTTTATAATGATGCTACTATTATTAGAGGCAAAAAGTGTAGCATTTTTGTTAAATTGAATCTTCTAGATGAATATCCACTAGGGAAGTATTCCCTCTTTGGGAGTGTCGTATCTTTGGTATCGTGGATATATTTTGAAAAGCCATTTTCAATATTATGTAAATATACTACATATATTTATATAAATGCAAATATAATTTTAAAAATATGTTACAAACTTCAGTAAGTTAAGGTAGGTAACGTTTTCTTGGTTGCTGGGGTTAAGTAGAATATATATTGACTCTATATTAGGGAATGCCACTCTAAGGACTCTGAATCTTCTAGTAGGTGAAAGTTTTATGTTTATCAGAAAGATATGGGGTAAGAAAAGATTGAGAAACAGTGTTTTAGAGTACTCTCAAAGACTGGTCCTCAGTGAATATAGAAATTTACTCAGCTTCTATAAATCTGTGAGGTATCTGAATCAAATCACACGACCCTGGCTTTATTGTGATTTATTTATAAAACATTTGTTTTAGCTGCATACCATGATGCTGTGTACACTTTAATAAAAATATTTCTATCTAGTGTGATACTGGTGATTTTTCTGATTTCCAAATTTTTAAATGGAGTAAAGATGACATGTTACAAAAGTTTAATTGTAGTGCTTTTTATACTTTAAGAGTAACTTTAAAATACCTGTGCAGGCACATTTAAAATATTCTTGTTACTGTGATTTACCTTCATAATTTGGAATTAACAATAAATTCCAGAAATTTTGACTTTTGATTAAGATGATTAATTTTTTTTTTTCCAGAACAACCAGAGGTTTTTGAAAGTGGAATGTTTTAACAGTATTTGAGGGTCAGAATTAACACGTATATGCTTATTAGCCGGTTGTTGGATACTTTAATTGCAATATATAGTCATAATGAGGAATTGACATGTTTTGCTTTATGTGCTTGAAGCTTATGAGCTTTTGACATGAAAGAGAATATTCAGCAAACAAGGTTGTTTATTTAGATTAATGTCTGTACCTTGAACTGAATGCCTGTTTTAATGCTAAAATCTGACAGAAAGTACATAAGTATAAAAGCGAAAAAACCACATGTAAGTATACTTTTTATATATCAGTAAAGGTCTTTAGTCAGGTGTAATGTAGTAATTGTGTAAGCCTCCTTCACCTTTATGTGTCATCTTTTTTACCCTGCTTGAGTCCTCGTGGTGAGTTCACAAGATGAAGGGGATTAAATCTTCTAATCTTGACATTTTACATAAAACATAACTTAGATTTAGCAAATATCAGGTACACAAAAATAGGGACTTTGTTTAAAATTGTCCTTATTTTTGCCTTGGGATATGTAAATCTGCTTTGTGAGATAGCTTCACTAATGTGCTAGTTTTGTTAACCCAAAGCAGGTCCTGCCGTGTGTAACTTCTTGTCAGTAAAGGTGAAGTGAGGGGGAAGGAAGAGCCTTCATTGCAAGTGCACAGGCAAGGAGCAAGGAGGTATATACCTAAAATCAGGCTCCCTGAACAAAGGAAGAATCTTTTATACTGTCGTTTCCAAGGAAGTACATACAAACATCGTGGACTACATAGGTTGTCGTGGTGTGCAGCTGCAGTAAAGCAAATTGCATTTTATTCCCTTAGTTTGTACAGAAAATGGCAGATAAGTCTCGCCCTGGGTGGAGATTTTAATATTCAAGTAGGTCTTAATGAGGCTTAGGTTACTTTAGGACACTTTAGAGGCTAGTAAACTGATTTTAACTGGTTTTGGCTGATTTAAGGCAGAAGCTGAGTTACAGGCAGTGCTCAAGGTCTTGATGATAATGAACAAGAGGAACAGGTATTGCTTGATAGTGGCTGAGCAGCTGCTGGCTGCTGCTTGCTATCAGTTTCATCAGTCTAAGGGTGTCCCTTATTTTTTCACAACTAAATAAACGTCTGCCTTGGAATTTCAAAATTTTATCCTGATACTATTATCATTAAAATTTAGCTCTTCAGGGGGTCTTTAGTCATCATTAGTCTAAACTTTTCTTTTAAGATATGAAAACTGAGCTCTTGAAAGTGAAATTTACTTGCTAATCTCAAAAGATAATTGCTGAACTGTGACTAGGATCTCAAAGTAATGCAATGTTGATTATTCTCTTCCTTTTTCCTCTAATATTAACAGTTTACTGTTACGTTTTTCTGTTAAGATAATGAAGCCCCATGATTAACTTCATTATTTTATTTTGTCTTATGCACAGGCCTCTAAATAAATCAGCTGATGTTTAGAAGAAAACAATTTTTTGAGAATTTTTGTGTTTTTTAAAATAAACTAAGGTGTCAAGAATAATAAACTTTAATTATAGCAAACTTACAAAAATGATACAACAGTTTTATGATTGGCCTATGGCTAATTATTAAATATATCAATGTAATATGAATGTGTATTTTCCTCTGAATGTTTCAAGGTAGAAAACAACTATCTAAGGAAAAGTTTGGATGATTAAAGTATCAAAAAAGTAAAAATATTGCATAATAATTACTTCGTAGATTTGTTACCATGCCCGTATGACAGTTCCAATCTATTTTATAGGTATTCTTCTGTTTATATCTGTAGGGTTGCTATGAGTCAGAATCGACTGGATGTCAGTGAATTTTCTGTTTATATCATTCTATGAGGCTTTTATAGCATAGGTTGGTGGAACTGATGATACTGGAGTTACAACCAAGTCATTTAAGCAGATCATCTGGCAGTATGGTAGATAAAATGTATTTAAATTGAGAGCAGGAAGGTAAAGGGGCAGAGGTACTATTTATTCTACATGTTTGTTAGATGAATTTGGGGAATTGGGTTCAAATGCATGGTCCTGGAGTAGATCATCTCAGGATCAAAGAGAATAATCAGCTTCTTGTTGAGATAGGAAGTCAGAACAGCAGTCTTTTAGGCAGTGTCATTCTGTTTCCCTATCCCAAGGGCACAAGCACTAAAATGGAATAAAAAGTGTTGTTTACTCATAGGTTTCATGTGCTTTGTTATGTCAAGTCTTGGTTCCTTAGTATATAGAGAGGTAAAAAAAAAATCATTTCCTTTTGTCCATCTCAGTCTCATTTTTCTGAGTAATGATTTGATTGTAATGAGTGTGTGTATCTTGAACAGATAGACAATCCTGGAAGTAGGGACATGGACAGAATTGGAAGAGGCTCATATATGGAGATAATTGGACCTGAACTTATAAACAAATTAACAACTAAATTTTTTTGAGAGACTTATAAGAGGTTACGAAAAATTGAGTTAAAATGGGAATAACTAATAAATGTTATAACTAATATAACTAATGTTCATGTTGCATTCAGGTTTTTAAAACCTCTAATAGTATGTTTTTTAGCCACCAATGGTAGTTTTATGGTTGCCATTTTTATTCTAATCTCTTAACTTTTCCCCCCAGGTGGTATCATGGAAAGCTTGATAGAACTATAGCAGAAGAACGCCTCAGGCAGGCAGGGAAGCCTGGCAGTTACCTAATAAGAGAGAGTGATCGGAGGCCAGGGTCCTTTGTACTTTCATTTCTTAGCCAGACAAATGTTGTCAACCATTTTAGGTAAGTCTTTACTCCTGTTATGAGACTACTACTATAGTATAGCTAAGTGATGTGTAGTGTTCATGACTATAGTGGCTTTCTTAAAAGTGTTTGACTCCAGTGATATTGAAGTAATAGAGAAAGATATTTGTTTTCAATTAAATTATTTAATCAGTGATTTAGAGCAGGTAATGTTGAATGTTTATCTTTTTTTAAAAAACAGTATTATTAATGAATCTTATTGTGCTAATCCCAAATATAGTCATCACTTCTAAAGTGGTAAACTGAAATAAAGAAAATACATAGTTTTAGACTATGGAGTTACAGAAAGTACAGGGAACTATTTAAAAGTCAAGATGTGTGCCCTTTAATTCATTCTAGCTTCACTTTTTTGAAACTCTTTACATTCATTTCAGTTCAGTAGTCATGTAGAGTTTCAAGTACAGATATCAAAGTCTGTATGTACACATACATTGTATTCTGTTTCATTTTTATGTGAGAAATTGAAAAAATAAAAAAATGTCATCTAGTGCCTATAATGTTAATGATAAATGTGTATCCTTTATTTTTAGATTTTAAAATAAGCTTTTAGAGTAGTATCATATGTAGAATGTGAAATTATTTTTATACTTTGTGTAAATATTTCAAGAGGTCTGTCAGCTACTCTTAGCCAGAGAAAAATTGTTAAAAATTGTGAATTTAGTCTTAAATATGAAAAATGGGGGAGGTATCTGAGGGTGAATTTTCAAATATTTTAATGAATTTTGTAATTGAGATTTATAGTTCGATATGTATGTCATATCAAATGCATACATATGTATATTTTTAAAAGAAATAATCTCAAATGTATATGAGGAAGACATGAATATTTTAATATGGTGATGCCATTAAAGGAAAATAGTATGAAAATTAGGTATTTATAATTTTTTAATAAATTTATGGAAGTTGGTCGTCAGAATTCGCTATAAAGATTTGTATTACACTGTATTGTTTTTCCTGTACAAATAGGATTATTGCTATGTGTGGAGATTACTACATTGGTGGAAGACGCTTTTCTTCACTGTCAGACCTAATAGGTTATTATAGTCATGTTTCTTGTTTACTTAAAGGAGAAAAATTACTTTATCCAGTTGCACCGCCAGAGGTAAGTAAAACTTGAATAGAATATCTCTCAAAGCTTATTCTTTCAGTTTAATGACGTGTTTCACTCTTGGTCAGTTACTTGTGATGTTTGTTATAATTCCAAAAAGTAATTGTTGTATTAAATTTTAATTTTTGTTGTAAAGGTCGGTTAGAGCAAAACTGGTAACTTGTGTTTAAAAAACAAAGAGTAATTTTTATGTAATTTTGTATTCAAGTAATGAATTTTTTACTTTTAAATAATACCTGTGGCTGTAGCCTAACAAATACTTCTGAATGAATTGAGGAGTAATTATTGATGTCATAGTGCTATCCTGCAGTTGCTGCAAGATTCTGAAATGCCTCCTGTAGCATCAAAGAAATGCTCATTTATATGTTCTGCATAGTTTATTTAAAATTGAATGGTCATTCATATTATTTAGTAAAAACATTGGTTATACTGTTAAGAATTGTGGTATAAACATTTCTAGGCTCTGGACATTTAAATCGTTCAGAGTTTCAGTAAAAAATAATTTGGATGATGCTATGGAATTTATAATGTGGAGTCTTATTGGCTTTAACTGTGTGTAGACATAGATCTTTTGACTTGGAGACAGTTATTTATCTTTTTAAAAGCATTATTTTTATGATTTTTAGCCAGTAGAAGACAGAAGGCGTGTGCGAGCCATTCTACCTTACACAAAAGTACCAGACACTGATGAAATAAGGTATTTTATAATATATTGTCATTTATAAACATTTTAAACAGGCATTTGAAAGAGCTAGAATTTGAAGATTATTGCTCTTAGACTAAGAAGGTTTTGGAATTTGAGGAAATAGCATGCAGCAAGGTAAAAACGCCTTTAATGTTGGATCTCTTGTTCCTGTATTGCTATATTGGCTTATCTGTTCAGACCGTGGATTTGGATCAGAGTGGCCACAGGAGAGATGACAGGAAAAAGAACTTAGCTTTTATTAGATTACCTCTGACATAGTAGGAATAGTTCTTTTGTAATATATATTCTATTTTAATTTCTGTTACCAGATGACATTTGTGTCCCAGCGGTGAATGGTGCTCAAATGATCATTAGGCCTCTGTTTTACATAGTGTGTGAATAATTTTAAATGTTAAGAATATTATAGAACTATAGAACTTTATTATTATTATTATAAAGTTGTTTTCGTCTTTCTGTAAACTAACTTTGAAATACTATTTCCCACTGATAAAATGTTAAGGCTACTTTTGAATAATTCCTGACTCGAGTATATACTTTCTCATTGAACTCAACAGCAGCATTTAAAGTTTAGTGAAAACTTATTTTCTGATGGTAAAAGATTCTAGAAATATGGTAATCAGAAAAACAAAGACTCAGGTATCTAGAATCTCAAAATAGGAATTCCAGATTTATATGATTGTCCTCAAAATGTTGATTTCTCATTTAATCCTTATTTGTATGCCTTGATTTGCTATTTACACTGGAAAAGTCAGTAAAAGAAAGGGAAGAAAAGAAATGTGTATAGTAAAGGAGAATAACCAAACTGAATCCATTGCTGCTGAGTCAGTTATGACTCATAGCAACCCTATAGGTCAGAGTAAAACTGCCCCATGGGTTCCCAAGGCTATAAATGATTACAGAAGCCGACTACCACATCTTGTCTCTCACGGAGCAGCTGGTAGGTTTGAACCACAAACCTTTCAGTTAGCAGCTGAGTGCTTAACCACGGCGCCACCAGGTCTTCTTAAAGGAGAATAGCAGTGAACTAAAAATGCAAGAATTCCCGATAATTTTTAAGTTCGTTATGGGATCATCTAGGACAGCAGTTCCGTAAGTGTGCTTCATGTAACCCTAGGGATTCTTGAGACCCTTTCACAGGGTCCATCAGGTCAAAACTATTTTTATAACATTACTGAGACGTCATTTGCCTTTTTCACTGTGACGTTTCACTGATGGTTCAAAAGCAACAAAGGATAAAACTGCTGGTGCCTTAGCACAAATCGAGGCAGTGACACCAAACTGTTTAGTATTTTTCACTTCCACACATTTGAGTCAAAAAAATAAATCTGTTAGGACTGCTTTCGACCAACACGCGAAACTTGTCATTTTTCTTTTCTCTTTTAATTCTTTTTCATAAGCACGCCTTTTTTACACACTCAGCTATTTTCTTTAATGTACTTATTTAGGTGGTTCTAGAAGGTAATGATTTATTTGGTTAAACGATAATGTCTGCTGCTAGTATTATATTGGTTGCCATTGAGGAGGGCTATAGAATCAAGACAGAATGCATTAATTTGTGTTTATTCAAATACAGAGTGCATTTAAAGTGTGTACAAGTTGTTTTCTTGAATTTGTCACAGAAACGATGAAATTTGAGATAGTCTAGAGAAAAACAGTCAGGCTTTCAAAGGTATGAGAGTTGGACTTATTTAATAGAATTTTAATTTGTAGATGTTAAGACTGAAAGGAAAATTGTTGAAAACTACATGACAGTTATGGATATAGGTGTAGGGTAAACGGTCACGTCCAACCAGTCTTGATACCTGAGTGGGTAAAATCAAACTCCCACGTCTCTGACACTTAAGCTGTTAGGATCAATCAAACTAATTCAATTTAGTTCTTTTTCCAAGTGTTCCAGTTCTGTTCTTACACCAGCTGTATGTGCAGCACTTCTTCATGTAGTCTTAACCACCTGGAGCTAGGTTAGATCTCACAAGTTAAAGGGGCACAATCCTCCCAGCTGCTAAGTTGGCCAAGACTTAAGATGCCAGCCTCAAAACTTGGGAGTCCCCACTGTTCGCTTCTGATCTGCTCTGGCTACAAATTCTGAGTTTTCACACTACCCCTTCAGGATGCCATTCATAAGTTTGGGAATTCCCACAGTACCTCATTTCTGACCTGCTGGATTTTACTGCTCCCTCCGGTTCAATAAATCACTAGAACAACTTACAGAATTCCTGGAAAGCACAACACTTAATACAGTTTTATTATAGCAAAAAGGATACAAATGAAGAGACACATAGGGCAAGATCTAGGAGGATTCTCAGTGCAGAGCTTCTGTGTCCCAAAAAGGGCTGTGCTACCCTCCCTTTTGTCCTTCAGTGCCATTCACTATGCAGGAAACCCATGGAGCTTCAGTGCCCAGAGATTTTATCGTGGGGGTCACTTTATGTAATTCAAACTGCAGCCCCTCTCTCATGTACAGTTGCTATAAGGAGGTTGATATCATGCAATAGGTCTTTCTGGCCTTGCCAGCCTCCTACCAAGAGTCACCTCATTTAGCATAATCTGGATCCTCATCAAAGACACTTATAATTACCAGGAAATTCTCAGGTTTTAGAGATTATCTCTCAGGAACCAAGGACAAAGACAAAATTCTTTGGATAAAGTTAACCCTACAGGACCTTAATCTTTCAGAGGCATTCTTTCAAGCCTGAAAGGAAAAATACAAGGAATTATTGGTGGCTTTATATTGATGACATTTATCAACAACTTACTGCTCACATGATAATGGGGAGGTTGTTATATTCTCATTTTCAGTTAAAGGAAATTAGGTTGTGTTTCCCCATGCTTCTGTTAGTTTGCTGTACTGTGGTGGTTTGTGTGTTGCTGTGAGGCTGGAAGCTTTGCCACCAGTATGTCACATACCAGCAGGGTTACCCATGGTGGACAGGTTTCAGCTGAGCTTCCAGACTAAGACAGACTAGGAAGAAGGACCTGGTGGTCTACTTCTGGAAAAAAAATTGGTGAAAACGTTATGAATAGCAGCAGAACATTGTTTGATATACTGCTGGAAAATGAGCCCCTCAGGTTGGAAGACACTCAAAATACAACTGGAGAAGAGCTGTCTTCTCAAAGTAGAGTTGACCTTAATGACATGGATGGAGTCAAACTTTCAGGACCTTCCTTTGCTGATGTGGCACGACTCAAAATGAGAAGAAACAGCTGCAAACATCCATTAATAATAGGAACGTAGAATGTACAAAGTATAAATCTAGGAAAATTGGAAATTGTCAAAAAATGAAATGGAATGCATAAACGTTGATATCCTAGGCATTAGTGAGTTGAAATGGACTGGTATTGGCCATTTTGAATCAGATAATTATATAGTCTACTATGCCAGGAATGACAAAGAGGAATGGTGTTGACATTCATCATCAAAAAAGATTTCAAGATCTATCCTGAAGTACAACGCTGTCAATGATAGGATAATATCTATACCCCTACAAGGACAGCCAGTCAATATGAGTGTTATTCAGATTTATGCACCAGCCACTAAGGTCAAAGATGAAGAAATTGAAGATTTTTTACCAACTTCTGCAGTCTGAAATTGATCAAACATGCAATCAAGATACATAGGTAATTCCTCGTGATTGGAATGGGAAAGTTGGAAACAAAGAAGAGGCAACAGTGGTTGGAAAATATGGCCCTGGTGACAGAAATGATTCCGGAGATCACATGATAGAATTTTACAAGACTAACAACTTCTTCATTGCAAATACCTTTTTTCAACAACGTAAACGGCGACTGTACACATGAACCTCACCAGATGGAATACACAGGAATCAAATTGACTACATCTGTGGAACAGGAGGATGGAAAAGCTCAGTATCATCAGTCAGAACAAGGCCAGGGGTTGACTGCACAACAGGCCATCAATTGCTCCTATGCAAGTTCAAGTTGAAGCTGATGAAAATTAGAACATGTCCAAGAGAGCCAAAGTATGACCTTGAGTATACCCCACCTGGATTTAGAGACCATCTTGAGTAGAATGACACATTGAGTGGGTTGTGGAATGACATCAAGGACATCATACATGAGGAAAGGAAGAGGTCATTGAAAAGAAAGAAAGAAAAGACCGAAGTGGATGTCAGGAGACTGAAGCTTGCTCTTGAACATAAAATAGCTAAAGCAAAAGGAGGAAATAATGAAATAAGAGAACTAAACAGAAGATTTCATGGGGTGGCTCGAGAAGACAAAGTATGTGACCTGGAGTTGGAAAAACAAAAGGGAAGAACACACTTGGCATTTCTCAAGCTGAAAGAACTGAAGAAAAAATTTAAGCCTTGAATTGCAATATTGAAGGATTCTACGGGGAAAATATTAAACAGTGCAGGAAGCATCAAAAGAAGATGGAAAAAATACACAAAGTCACGATATGAAAAAGAGTCGACATTCAGCCATTTCAGGAGGTAGCATGTGATCAGGAACCGATGGTACTGAAGGAAGAAATCCAAGCTGCACTGAAGGCATTAGCGACAAACGAGGCTCCAGGAATTGACGGAATACCAGCGGAGATGTTTCAGCAGATGGATGCAGTGTTGGAAGTGCTTGCTCGTCTGTGTCAAGAGATTTAGAAGACGGCTACCTGGCCTACCGACTAGAAGAGACCCATATTTATGCCCATTCCAGAGAAAGCTGATAGAGTACAAAAATTATCGAACAATATCATTAATATCACGTGCAAGTCAAACTTTGCTGAAGATCATTCAAAAGTGACTGCAGCAGTACATCAACAAGAAACTGCCAGAAATTCAAGCTATATTCAGAAGAGGACGTGGAAGAAGCTGTGTTAGTCACCTAGAGCTGCTGTAACAGAAATACAAGTGGATGGCTTTAACAAATAGAAATTTATTCTTTCACAGTCTAATAGGCTAGAAGTCCAAGTTCAGGGCGCCAGATCCAGGAGAAAGCTTTCTCTGTTGGCTCTGGAGGAAGGTCCTTGTCATCAGTCTTCCTCAGGTCAGGGAGCTTCTTAGCCCAGGAACCTCTGGTCCAAAGGATGCTCTCTGCTCCCAGCATTGCTTTCTTGGTGGTATAAGGTCCCCCTGTCTCTCTGCTGACCTCTCTCTCTCATATTTCAAAAGAGGTTGGCTCGAGACACAATCCAATCTTGTAGATTGAGTCCTGCCTCATTAACATAACTGCCGCTAATCCCGTCTCTCAACATCACAGAGATAGAATTTACAATACATAGGAAAATCACATTAGACAAAATGGTGGAGTCAGACAACACTGGGAGTCATGGCCCAGTCAAGTTGACAGATACATATATATATATATTATTGTTGTGCTTTAAGTGAAAGTTTACAATTCAAGTTAGTCTCTCGTACAAAAATTTATACATACATCGTTATATGACCCTAGTTGTTCTCCCTGTACTGTGACAGCACACTCTTCCTTTCCACCCCGGATTTCCCATGTCCATTTAACCAGCTCTTGACCCTCTCTGCCTTCTTTTCATGCCTCTGGACAGGAGCTGCCCATTTAGTCTCATGTATCTACTTGTGCTAAGAAGCACACACTTCACGAGTATCATTTTATGTCCCATAGTCCAGTCTAATCTTTGTCTAAAGAGTTGGCCTCAGGAATGGTTTTAGTTTTGGGCTAACAGAGAGTCCCGGGGCCATGTCTTCCAGGGTCTCTCCAGTCTCAGTCAAACCATTAAGTCTGATCTTTTTACTAGAATTTGAGTTCTGCACTCCACTTTTCTCCTCTTCCATCAGGGACTCTCTGTTGTGTTTCCTGTCGGGGCGGTCATTGGTGGTAGCCGGGCACCATCTAGTTCTTCTGGTCTCAGGCTGATGAAGTGTCTGGTTTATGTGGCCCTTTCTGTCTCTTGGCCTAATATTTTCTTTGTGTATTTGGTGTTCTTCATTCTCCTTTGCTCCAGATGGGTTGGGACCAATTGTTGCATCTTAGATGGATGCTCACTAGCTTTTAAGACCCCAGACGCCACTCACCAAAGTAAGATATAAAACATTTTCTTAATAAACTTTGTTATGCCTATTGACCTAGATTGGCAGGTATTTTTGGAGGGCACAATTCAAGGGTTATGATCGCTGATGTCAGATGAATTTTGGCTGAAAACAGAGAACACTAGAAAGATGTTTACCTGTGTTCTATTGACTATGCAAAGGCATTCCACTGTGTGGATCATAACAAATTATGGATAACGTTGCAAAGAATGAGTATTCCAGAACACTTTATTGTGCTCATGAGAAAACTACGTAGATCAAGAGGCAATCGTTCATCTCACATGCTTTGGACATGTTATCAGGAGAGACTAGTCCCTGGATAAGGACATCATGCTTGGTAAAGCAGAGGGTCAGCAAAAAAGAGAAAGACCCTCAACGAGATGGAGTGACATAGTGGCTGCAACAGTGGGCTCAAGCGTAACAACAGTTGTGAGCATGGCGCAGGACTGGGCAGTGTTTCATTCTTTTGTACGTAGGGTCCCTATGAGTCGAAATCGACTCGACAGCACCTAACAACAAGAAAAACAGGTTGTAATGTGTCCCCGTTCTCTGAAGTTGATGATAGGAATGATATGCATACATTGTCATATCCCTTGGTATCATTTTCAGAGAAAGAATGCTATACTGGTTGGATAATGGGTATCTGAATGAATTAAATAGGCCCTAATGGTTTTATTAGAAAAATGTTAATTTATATAAGCATGTACATGATAAAACTATTTGTGTTTATCTAAAAGTTTTTTTGAAATAAATATCTTGTGTATGTATAATGAGTTAATTATATTTGTCATTTTATATCTAGTCTATATCTGAAAGAGTAGTAACACTGAAACTTAAATTCAGGTCTCCTGTTTTTAAATTCAGTGTTCTTGGAGTTACAGTTACTGTTTTCCAAAGCTTTAACTTGAATCTAACAGTAACTCAGTGACTAGATAATTCAAGTACCATTGTCACGCCTGTTTTACTGATGAAGAAATTAAGATTCAGATTATTATCTTCGAAGTTTTACATGTAGATAATTACAGAAACAGAGCAAAAGTCTAGGGTATTTGACTTTAATCCCTTGTATTTTCCAGTATCCTAATATCTCTGTGATACAGTACATGATTAAATTTCTGTATTTCAAAATTTTATTAATTTTAATAAGCTTATAATTGCTATTTTCAGTTTCTTAAAAGGTGATATGTTTATTGTGCATAATGAATTAGAAGATGGATGGATGTGGGTTACTAATCTAAGAACAGATGAACAAGGCCTTATTGTTGAAGACCTAGTAGAAGAAGTGGTAAGTTTTATTCTTCTCTTCTCGATTCCAGGATTCTAAATGTTTTGTATAAGTTTGAAACTTGTCTGTAACTGTCTCCCAAGTACAGTGAAACCTGTGAGAGCTGGACTTGACTGGACTGCCTTGTTTTCCTTGGTCTTGCAAGTTTTCTGCTTTTGATAGCATGCATTCTCCCACTTTTTAGGGCTCATTTTAGTGGGGAATATTTGAATTTTCCTTCTCCGACAGGTTTGCGCCTTACACAAGTTCCAGCTTTTGCAGGCTTTACTGTATATGTATAATTTTCTGGTAACCTTGGAAAAATTTAGTTATATTATGTGAATTTTAATCATATTATCAAATGCTTTTACATTTTGAATATTCTCTTTGTTTTTGTTGCCATCACATAATACATTGTCAGTAGTTGTATACACTAAAAGTTACCCTGTTTATGCATTTTTAGATAGCTGGTCAGCATTCACGCAACATTTGCATTTCAGAGACAACACTCAGTATCACTGAAATATATCAAACCTTATAATTTTGGGATTCACCCTCCCCTTTTGGATTTATCCAGTGGGATGGAATGGTTTTGTGTTATCTTGACAACCCTCAGAGCTGCCGTTTTTAAATTATGCCACAAACCTGGTTATTTGCTGACACATCTGCTTTGATTATTGTTTCATGAAGAAAGTGGTGGATAACATTTTTCTTTGCTATTACTTCTTTTGTCTGCCTGTTCTGGCAGCCATATCTTGATACACAGAAGTAAAACATACTGAGGAAAAGTGGTAGAAGTGGATGAAATGGTGGGATTACAATCTATACTCACAGTCACATACATACATAGTGGAAGAGCTGGGATTAGAACTCCTAATTCCCAGATTAGTATTCGGTATTCTATAGTAGGAGAGAGATTTCCATAGAGGCAGAACATGTTCAAACTGGATCATCTTACTGTGTTGGTTTTCCTAGAAAATTTTGTAGTTAAAACTTCTGTGTGGAGTTTCTCTCTTCCACTGAGCACTCTCCCCCTCGCCCCCCAATTATGCTTATTATTTGAAGGAATGGTAGTATAGTCGAACTTTTCTTGAGCTCTTGGAATTCTGGAACACATTTAACAATGTAAAGTTTAATAAGGATAAGTAAAAGTTACTTGATGAATGCAGAAAAAGAATAATAATCGCCAAATCTAGAATAAGGAGACATGACCTATTATCAATACAAGGAAAGAAGAAAACAAATTAGCAACTCAAAATGAGTGAATAATGTGATATGTTTATTAAAAATAAATACAGTTATAGTTTTGAATTAATAATGGAATAGTTCCAACTTAGAGTTACAAACAGTTTTCACTCCAATAGTTAGAATAATTTTTCACAAATTTTCTTCATTGGAAGATAGTGTATTTCTTATAGAATGGAAGGCCGTTTGGAGATTGTCCAGATTGTGAAGAAGTTTCAGGCATTCAGTTGGTGGTTAGATTTAAGGCATTTCTCACTCTGAAATTCTAATTACTGTTCCCCAACCACATTTTACTTTCATGTCCTAACTTTTGAATGTGTGCTCTATAAGGAGAGGTATCTTTTGTCTCTGATTTATCCCATTGCCGAGAATAGTGCCTGGCATTAGTAGACAATTCAAGTAAATGTTTTTTTGAATAAAGAAATGAATGTCTCTATGCCTATACTTTTCCCTCATCCTTGACACTCCTGCTCCACTAGACTGCCTAGTAAGATTTGATTAATCTTTGTCAGTAAAATTTGATTAAGCTTTATCAGCTCAGCTCAGATGTCACCACTTCTTTCACAGAGGTTTTATACCTTTCTAGATTCTCTTAGGCTAAATTGTTGTTTCCATAGCACTTTGTTAATTCCACATTCCATTACACTGTATAAAATTAATTTGTTGTGTAAGCCTCTTCTACAAGCGGTTAACTCCTTCTGAGCAATGATACTGGTAATCATTTTTATAGAGTTGTTTTTTTAGCATACTGCCTTGGAGATAGTAAGCATTCCGTGAGTGTTCTTTGATTTTAGTTTGTTTAGCTATTTAATGAGTGAAGACCAAATTGAGGGAAATAATTCCATCTGTAGTTAGATTGTCTATTCATTCATTTTTTATTCAAGGAAAACTTGGTTTCAGGTACTGTGCTAGGTACTAGGGCTACAGTTTAACAGTATTGTTGAAAATTCTGTGCCCAGCACTGTGTTGGTGCTTAGAACAGAGTGGGGGAATGGTGCAGGCGTGGGGAATGTTAATAAAGAATGGCAAATCCTTAAGATGCTTATAGCCTAGTGGAATGAATAATGCCAGTGTATCTTAAATAGTGGTGGTTCACTGGTAGAATTTTCACCTTCCATGCGGGAGACCTGATTTTGATTCCTGGCCAGTGCAGTCTCAAGCACAGCCACCACTCGTCACTGGAGGCTTGTGTGTTGATGGTGATGCTGCACTGGTTTCAGCAGAGCTTCCAGACTGTAACAGACTAGGAGGAAAGGCCTGGCAGTCTGCTTCTGAAAATTGACCAGTAAAAACACTGTGGATCACAAGGGTCTGCTCCTGTAGTGCATGGGGTTGCCAGGAGTTAGAGGCTGATCTGACAGCTAACAGCATCAACAACAACATCTTAAATAGTAGGAACATAGAGTAGAGTAAGGTAAAGTTCAAAAGGTCAAAGAAAGAAGATGCCTTTTGAATTCAAGGTGGAAGTTCATATTCACTTTTTTAGAGGCTCAGAATGTCTCACTGAGGAGGTGGCATTTGAGATGGAGCCTGCCTAGATGGTTTAGGCTTTAATTATGAGGTAGGAGACAGTAGGTGGGAAGGACATTCTAAGAACAAGTACAAGCTGGAGTGATGAGAGAATGTAGATTAGCCAATATGTAGTTTTGTGTGACTAAAGAGAACTGGTAGTATAAGACAGGAAGGGTAGACTTGAGCCATTTGAGTCTGTGCAATTTTTGTTGCAGGTTGAGGAATTTGTAGGTGGTAGAGAAGTAGCAAAGGAGCCCCGGTGGTGCAGTGGTTAAGTGCTTGGCTGCTAACTGAAAGGTCAGCAATTCGAACCCACCAGCTGCTCCACAGAAGAAAGATGTAGCAGTCTGCTTCCATAAAGATTTACAGCTGTGGAAATCATATGGGGCAGTCTCCTTTGTCCTGTACAGTCACTGTGGATCGGAATCGACTCGAGGGCATTGGGTATGGGTAGAGAAGTATTAAAAATTGGGTTTTTAAAAAATTGTTTTGTTTTTCTTAATGCAGGGCACAGTTGCAGTTGAAACTGATGAATCCAGATTGGAGTGGTGGGAGGTGGGGCATAGAGGTAATTATACCAGTGGGGCTGTTGTAATAGTTTAAGAAGAGAGTAAAAGAGCCTGTATTAGAGTAATGGCAACAGGGGGAGAAAAGTAAGGGAAAGAGTTTTAGAAGACATTTCATGAGCAGAAACATCTTTTCTGGTGTACACATAAATAAATATGAAGGGCAGTGTGGAAATATGTTTGAATATATGATTTTTATTCATTTTAATAAGGGTAGATTAATAGGTGATTATATAAAATACTGTCTTAATGTCTTCCCTTTAGGGCCGGGAAGAAGATCCACATGAAGGCAAAATGTGAGTTTTTATTAATTATTAAAAGGAAAAACTCTATATATACTTAAACTTACTAATTAGAAAATTTGGTCAAAAAGTATTTTAAAAGAAAATTGATATTTTTTTAACTAACTTAAAAAAGAAGTGTTTACTTTGCTCAGGGAAGTGATGTCTAAGTATTTTCATAAGAACGTAGTGATAAAATCTTACTTTTATTTATATACCTGTATACAGCTCTTATATCACCAAACTAAAGACCTTTGATAAACATTAATCACATTATGAATATCACAGTTTCTCACATTTTTCTTTAATTCTTACTGATTTTTCATAGTATTTTGTTTTCATAGCCAGATCTTTTATGCGTTTTTACTGTTCAGTTTTTTTTTGTTTTTTGTCTTCTCAGAAAACTGTTTTCCAAGATCGTGATTCTTCACCATTTTAATAAGCTTCTGCAAGGACTTTCTTTTTATAATCTTTGCAACTTGTCTATCTTATAAGGGCTCATTGAAAGACCAGGTATTACTATACCTACTACTTGCCACATTCTTTTCTTACATTTCAGAACTTATTATTAGCTCTAATCAGTAACCTCTTAGGGGAAATCACTGCATGTGATGTTTCAGCTTTGCTGTAATTTTATATATTATTGTCCTTGAAGATCTTTTTTAGTGTCCTCATACCTCTTGGCATTTATTTGTATATAAGTGTTCCTTTTTAACAGCTCTAACTTTTAATCCCAATTCTATCTCATTCACATTACTTGAATAGACTTCTCATCTTCTAATATCTTTTCAGTGGAATATTTTTTTTCATATCATCATTTCAGCATTTATAGATGGAATTTAAGACTTGTCTCACAAGTGTTTGCTTTTTCTGTTTTCCGACAATTACAACATAAAAACATTAAACTGAATACTCCATTTGAAGTTACCTTATTTAGTTCCCCACCCTTCCTTAAGTGGAATATCTGTGATGTTTTTTGAGTTTATTTTCCTTCTTGTTCCATGTAGCTACAAAATAGACTCCATCAGTGAGTCAGTACCCTTTTGATTTTATTACTCTGAGGTCTCCCACTCCTATATCAGGGGTTGCAAGTTCTAATTAATGCTTGGAAGAGTCACATAACGTAAGCAAGTAAAGTGGATTGGGCATATATATTTGTTTTCTCTAAACACAATGATCTTGATCTTCTTTTCCTCCTTTGATAGAGATAAAGGTACATAGAACTATTTCTCTACTGTAAAAAAAAAAAAGACAACACTGCAAGCATGATGATATATGGCAGCTGACATTCACTCTTGGTGTTAGGAAAGACTGGGGAATGGAAAACTAGAAAACATTTGACTGTTGTAAGGTGAACACTTTGTCTAATTGTGTGCAAGAATGTGGGGTTAGTGTTGTGAAATCCTTCTGATTTTCAAGAGAAGCTAGAAATCTGTATTTTTATGATACTCCCTATTTTAAATAATAGCACAGATTAATTTAAAAAAGAAAAAAACCTGCAGGATAAATGCAGTAAATATTTAAAGCTATATCTAGTTTTCTTATAGCATAAAATATAAATCCTGTTTTCACTGAGACTCTTCTTTTTTCATACAATTGTGATTCTTCCATATTCAGAACTTTATAATTTTCTACCCATTTGGGTAGTTTTCTTATAGCATGAAATATAAATCCTGTTTTCACTGAGACTCTTCTTTTTTCATACAATTGTGATTCTTCCATATTCTGAACTTTATAATTTTCTACCCATTTGGCATTTAGTATAAGCTGAATTTGCATTGCTATTTTATGTATTTGTTCATTCCCTCTTAATTTCTGAAGGTGGGGACTACAGCAGAGAAGTGTCTTATATTCTTTATAGTGTCCTCAGTAACATCCACAAGTGCCCTTTGGGGTTAAACAGATGGTGTAACTTTGAGCTTTTTTCCAGCTACCTATTTCCATGATGTAGGTTCCAAGTCCACGTATCTTCTAAAAATGTGTTCCCTCTTCTTAACCTTAAACAACTGTATTCTAGTTCAAGCCCTTTTCATCTCTTTCCAGGCTTCATAAAGCAGTAACCTCCAAGTTGGTCTCCCTTGACTCTTTAGTCTCTTCAAATCTTTTCTTCTAATAGCTGCGAAAATCATCTATCTAAAACACGTATCCGACTGTCACTTTTTCACTTCAAATCCTTAACTGATTTTCCACCATCTTTTATTTTACCAGAGCCTAAAAGACCCTCTGTAATTCAGCACTTAGATTCTTGACTAGTCCTACTTCTTGTCATTCCTAGTTTTATACTCTACTCTCCAGTTTGTAGGTCTTTAAATATGTAATGCTGTTTTTCTCCTTATCTTTGCTCAAGTGCTTCCTAGTCCAGAATTCCCCTCCATTATGCTTGGACACAGTTCATTTATCATTTATCATTCCCCCTAGGGAATCTTCCTTCATCTTCTCCTCTACACACTCTGCAGAATTGGTGCAGTTCTCTGGTATTCCCAAAATGCCTTAGCACATATCTATCACTGCATTTTAGTATATTTTCTACATTGTTTTTATAGTTACACAGTATTTTTGTTCTTTTTCTTTTATTATCAGAATGAGGACTTACTAAGATCAGGGACTCCTTTCTATCAGTGGTGCAAACCATGAACATTTTATATATAGGTAGTAAATTATCTGAATGAATGAAACTCAAATGTAATCCTTTCAGAAAATGTAACTGCCCTTTTGGCTTCAGGCTGTCTTCTTATACTAAAAATCTTACTATCTAAACTTTATTTGCTGCCTTCCCCCCAACCCCTTTGAATTCTATCCCTCCTCCCCTTATTTTAACTGTGAAAATATAGGACTGGCCTTAGAGATCATCTAGTTGATTCTCCCCCAGAATATAGAAACCCTGCTCTAGCCTAATAAGTGGTCATTTAGCTTGTACTTGAATGCAGTATGGAATCTCCCTACCTTTCATGGTAGCCTGGACTGCTCCAGTTATTGTAGACTTGCCTTACATTATTCATAATTCACACTGGGAGCCCTAGGAAATCTGAATTAGCAAGTTAATGATTGGATTAGAGTTAAAGAGGTAATTTAAAAATTTAACTTTTCATTCATATTAAAAAGGTAAAAATTTGGTTATGTTTCAGTACTTTCACCAGTAATAGCATGGATAAGTTAAAACAGTGTGAACAACTTCTAAACATTAGATTTTATAGCATTTATGTGTTTTAATCTTAGTAGTATATTTACTTTCTAACTTTTTGAGCCACTATTAAAAATAATACAGACTATAAGAATATATTGCAAAGTGGTAAAGAGGTAATATGAAGTTGTCAGTTTGGCATTGAAGTGTGTTAATCAGCAGAATAGATAATATTCCTTCAAGTTAATAAGAGATTTTAAGTACTTCAGTTGCTAGCAATTAGTTTTTTTAAAACAGATATGTCATTTTATTGTAAGATAAATTTAAATACTTTAGTTATTATATGCTTTGGACCTTGACTGTAATGCCATTTATAACAAGTTCTAAGGGTTTAATTATATAAAATTTGAAATATTTTAGCAATCAATTTTGCTTAACTACTTGCTCAAATACAAATAGGAACACTAAGTCAGTCTTTTCTTTTGGTTCTTGATATTGGTATTCACTCTTTCCCCTCACTCAAATCTTATTTTCTGCTTTCAGTAAAGTATACATCAACATCTTGATTTTATTTGAAGAGAGACCTTATAGCAAAATTCACTTTGAGAGAAATATGAGGAAAACAAATTCATTAATTCCCCTCGATAATTCTGAAGTAGGCTCTCCCTATACAGTTCTTCTCCTCCCATCCCTACCCACCCACCAAAAAAAAAAAAAGCTAACAATGAAGTAAGCATATGACAGTTTGTCATTATCAGGATCAAAATATTTGTATTGGTAATTAATATAAAAATTATAGTTTATACTTGTTAGTCCCTAATTTTTCTATATTTTGTTGAAATTAAGCATTATAATGTGTTTATAAAATGGAGTAACATTAATAGGAATGAGATCATTTATGATTAATTACATTGCAGTTATTTCATTTATGTCAGCTTGAATTAAACTTATTAGTTGGTTGTTTAGTTTTGATCACTTGATAAGCGCAAAAAAAACCCTTTTGATTTACATATCTAATTTGTTCTCTTTTTAAGATGGTTCCATGGGAAGATTTCTAAACAAGAAGCTTATAATTTACTAATGACAGGTACTTCTATGTTCACTTGTTCTTTCTAATGTCTTGCCTAGGACTGAGAAACTGGTGTTCTGTTTTTAGTTGAAAACATGCGTATAGTATAAAATTCAGTGAAGTGTGTTTTCTTTCTACCCCAGACCTTTGTCCTCTTCCCCAGAAGCAGTACTAGATAATTGTTTGTTCTGTATGTTTCTAGAACTTTTGTGTTTGTATGTCTCTCACGCCTACATACACAAACACACCCACACACAGAGACACAACACAGACACAAGATGGAACATGAAACACTTTTTTCATGTTAGGATATATTCTGGGATATTATTCCATATCTGCAGATAGAAATTACCATATTCTTTTCAATGACTATAGAGCTTCCCATTATATAAATACTGTATTTACTAGACCCCTATAGAGGGATGGTAGAGCCCTGGTGGCACAGTGATTAAGGGCTACGGCTGCTAACCGAAAAAGGTTGACTGTTCAAATCCACCAGCCGCTCCTTGGAAACCCTATGGGGTAGTTCTTCTCTGTCCTATAGGGTCGCTATGAGTTGGACTTGACTTGACGGCAGTGGGTTTGGCTTTTTTTTTGGTATAGAGAGATGGAGTCCTGGTGGCACGGTGGTTAAGAGCTTGGCTGCTAACCAAAAGGTTGGCAGTTCGAATCCACCAGCTGCTCCTTGGAAACCCTGTGGGACAGTTCTACTCTGTCCTGTAGCATTGGCAATGAGTCAGAATTGACTTGACGACAACGGGTTTGGTTTTGGTTTGGTATAGAGGGACATTGTGTCGTTTTCAGTCTTTTGTTATTCAGCTGCTGCAGACATTCTTGCATTTATCTTTGTGCACTTGTGGAATTAGATAATTGGGCCTATTTAAACTCTATTAATTTTAACACTTCCTAAAACTCTAGTTTTAGAGAAATGCAGGGTAAAAATGGGCTTGTATTTTGGGTTTATTAGTTAAAATAAAATGATCCGGTCATTGTTTATCCTTATTAAACACTTAAGACTGAATTGATTTGTAACTACCAAGTATCTCTTCAGTAAAGCACATCCTGATAAAGATTTGAGGCAAGTTTGAGCCCATAATATGCAATTTAGAAGTTTTAGTTCTTTAACTATGGCAAGAGTTTGATAGTTTTTTGTATATGGTGAAACAGACTGTTGTGAATAAACTACTGATTATAAAAGATGTTATCTGAATTGTTTTAAACCATAAGGTGTTCATTTTAATGTAATTAATTCTTTGCTCTTATAAAAGATTTGAGGCAGTTTTTAGAAGTGCTTAATTTCACTGTAGAATGTAGGTTAAGTACATTCAAAAAGTAAAGAACATGATAATGCTATGTGGTAGTAATAGAGATCAAAATGACATGCTGTCAACTTTCCAAGTAGGACCAAAAATATTGATTTTAGTGCATTTAATAAATTTTGATCTTTAAGTTTATATTTTTGAACTTGCATCACCAAATATTTGAGGAATTCACTCTTGTTTTAGGCAAGTTGAAAAGGAGGTAAACTTAATTTACTTACATCAGTTTTGATTTTCTTTGAGTTGTATGCCCTTTTAAGAATCTGGTGATTTTCTCTTCTGAAAAGTACACATAAGCACATGCATACAGAGTTTTGCATGTAATTTCTATCTAACATTCTAGAGGAAATGTAAAGATTCTCTTGGATTCTTGTCACCAAGATTGTCACATTAACTAAGAAACCCCCTTCATTTTAGCCTGTATTAAATAACACAGTTGCTGCGATTTACGTTTTTACTTACGTATTGAGCTTTGAAGATTCAATTTAAGGAGATTTATTTTCTCCTTTGTGTTACTTGAAGTTATTTGATAATAAGTGCCTTGACTGGATGATTGGAACTATTAGTAATTTACATAAAACTTGCATCTGTTATTCTAAATGTTCATTTGCGCTTTCCTAAAAACAATCAAGTTCTGATCTTTTTTATGTCTTTAGGAATTAAATGGAAAGAAGTGAAAACAAGTTAATGTTAAGAGTTACTGCCAATTGAAAATACCAGAGAACTGTCTCTAAAATTAATATGAAAATATTTAATGAATGTTAAATGTTTAATGTTGACTTTGCAGAATCATATCTATTGAATGAAATATAGTACGTGTCAATTTTGATAATGAAAATGTACACAAATATTTCACTCGTTTTTTAGTCTACCTTTGTGAGCTTTTGTTACTGTTCTCTTATTAGTCATTAATTTTTAATGTTTAATTGGAAACAGTGATAAAGAACGAAGAGTCGCTATGAATCAGAACTGACTTGATGGCACCTAAAAACAAATAACATTCCTAAGCAAAATGGGTTTTAGCTTTTTTATTATTATTATCTTCTTGCTAAGGAGATTTACAAACAGAATGTTAACACTTTTAGCTGGTATCCCTTAAATTATTCTTCTCAAGTTATGACAGGTACAGTCATAATTGACCAGAAGTCACTGCTACAAAATTTCTGCCCTATATATTTATGTAATAAAGCCAGTAAGATAGGTCGGAAATACAGGGAACAAGCAACATGGGTAGTTGCAAATCATAAACCAGAAAATATGAAACAAAAATGTTTTAAAATTGTCTTAGTAAATCAAGTTCCTGGTGAAAATTTATGTACGTTTATGACTTTTGAATGTAATTATACTACTTAATAACTTTTGAAGGTACTTTGTAATTATACTACTTAACACCTTTTTTATTTGATGATTAGAGAATAAAAGTAACAATTTAATTTTTACAGTTGGCCAGGTCTGCAGTTTTCTTGTGAGGCCTTCAGATAATACTCCTGGTGACTATTCACTTTATTTTCGGACCAATGAAAATATTCAGCGATTTAAAATATGTCCAACACCAAACAATCAGTTTATGATGGGAGGCCGATATTATAACAGGTAAGTTGTGAGAAAGTTTTAGTTATTGTTTAGCAAAAACTAGTTGAGATCTAGATAATATGTAGTATATCAGATTAAAAATCATATAAAAGTTCTCTGACTTTTTAAAATGACAGAACCTTTAATATAATTTAGTAGTCATGTCCAAGTATTGTTGAGACGGTGTCA